TATATATATATACAGTGATCTGGCATGTATGCCTACATGCCAGAAGAGGGCACCAGATCTCATTGTAGATGGTTGTAAGCCATCATGTGGTTGCTGGGAATTGAACTTGGGACCTCTGGAAGAACAGCCAGTGCTCTTAACCTCTAAGCTATTTCTCCAACCCAGTTGTAGGTGGGTTTTTTTTTTAAACTTAGCTTTTTTTATGTTCCTGCTGCTCAAGGGCTTGCCATAAGCAGAACTCTTTTTTTCCCCAAAGATTTATTCATTTTATGTATATGAATGCTCTATCTGCATGTACACTTTATTCCAAAAGAGGGCATCAGATCCCACTAGAGATGGTTCTGTGCCACCATGTGGTTGCTGAGAATTGAACTCAGGACCTCTGGAAGAGCAGTCAGTGTTCTTAACCGCTGAGCCATCTCTCCAGCCCAAGGCAGAACTCTTAAAGGAGATGTGAAGTTTGAGCCTCATGTTGGTACACCAAAATGGTTTGTTTGTTTGTTTGTTTTTAAACTCTTTGACCCTTTTGGGGGCCTGCCACCCAGCTCCCAAATAAATCACATAGAAACTTATTCTTTCTTATAAATGCCCAGCCTTAGCTTGGCTTATTTCTAGCCAGCTTTTCTTAAATTATCCCATCTACGTTTTGCTTGTGGCTTTTTCCTTTTCTTACTTCTGTAATCTTACTTTCACTCTTACTCAGTGGCTGGCCCCTAGTGTCCTCCTCTCCTTGTTCTTTGCTTCTCCTCCTATTTATTCTCTCTGCCTGCCAGCCCTGCCTATCCTTTCTCCTCCTTCCTTATTGGCCGTTCAGCTCTCTTAGAGCAATCAGGTGTTTTAGACAGGCAAACTATCACAGCTTCACAGAGTTAAACAAACGCAACATAAAAGAATGCAACACACCTTTGCATCATTAAACAAATGTTCCACAGCATAAACAAATGTAACACACCTTAAAATAATATGCCACAACAGTCCTTCACTTTACGGAGTGAGAAAACCAAGGCTCAAAGACCCTAAGTGTTCAAGGCCACACAGCCATGAACCTACAGGGTTCTGGGATCTGGTCCCTGGTCTGGCTGGCTGCTAAGCTTCCTCATGCTGTGTGGCTTCTTAGAGCTATCTATCATCAGGGAGGATGCAGTGCGGGGGATGCGTGGATCCTGCCCAGGGATCTTCATTACCCAAGGTACTGGACTTCTAGGGTTGCCCAGCCAGCTCAGGTATCCCTGGGCGGGAGTTACTGGGTGCTGAGACTGTGAGGCAAGGCCATGGTGTCATTTCTTCTCAGGTCACCTGCCATGAGCTCTGCCACCTCCTGGGCCTGGGGAGCTGTCGCTGGCTCCGCTGCCTCCTGCAGGGTGCACTTAGCCTGGATGAGGCCATAAGGAGGCCCCTAGACCTCTGTCCCATCTGCCTACGGAAACTGCAACACCTCCTGGGTTTCAGGCTCCTGGAGAGGTATAAGGTGAGTGTGTGGGGTGTGGGGCAGCCACCCCAAGGCAGTGGGAGGGGACAGGTTCAGGACCTGGATCTGTGTGCAGGAGAACCAAAGGACACGCATGCACCATCACTCCTGGGGAGGGGGCTGCAGGCTTTTCTGGCCGATGAAACACCCGGGGTGGTGTCAGTGACGTCAGGCTGCAGTGGGGGAGGAGGGCAATGGTCCCCCATGAAGCGCTGTATTTACAGAGCTCAGGTGAGGGCCCCCTCCCCCACATCTTCCCCATGTCCTCTTTCCTCTCCTTGCTCCTTGGTGGACACTGGGGGGTCTTGTACCCAGAGGCAGTACAGTCCCTGGGAGAAAGGGGATGCACACCAAGCTGGTGTCCAGAAGGGTAAACAGCCGCAGAGCCCTTCTTGGCTGAGCTGGTGAGGGGATGCTGCCCTCTGCTGTCAGCATGCAGTATTGCTGCAAGCATTCCTTGCCACATCCCACCCGCACCCCCCTTTATCCCCGTGGGAAGGCTTGTTTGCAAACTAGGACACTTGGCTCAGGGTTCCGAGATCAAAGGCAAGTGCTGCCTGATTTTCTTATTTGAAGTCCACCTTTGGTTGAAATCAAGTTCAAGTTTTCAGTGCAGAGAGGAGCTATTCCTGTCTGTGTAAAAATTGGCTGTATTCAGCGTCTAGGCTCAGCTTACTCGGTGTGGGAAGCCTCCCTCCCCTCAAGTTTTTTCTTTTTTAATTTTTATAAAGATTTATTTAGCCAGCCAGGTGTGGTGGTGCACGCCTTTAATCCCAGCACCCAGGAGGCAGAGGCAGATGGATCTCTGTGAGTGTGAGGCCAGCCTGGTTTGCATAGTGAGTTCCAGGACAGCCAGGGCTACATAGTGAGACCCTATCTCGAAGGAAAAAAAAATTGATTTTCATTTTCGTGTGTATTTGCCTACACGTATGTCTGTGCACCATCTGTGTGCCTGGTGCCTATGGAGGCCAGAAGAAGATCCTCTGAGACTAGAGTTACAGATGCCACGTGGATGACGGGAATCGAACTTGGGTCCTTTGGAAAAATAACTAGTACTCTTAACTGCTGAGCTATCTCTCCAGCTCCCCCTCAGTTTTAGAAACTCATTAATTCATTTATTTATTTATGCACAGGTGTGCCATGGTGTACATATAGAGTTGAGAAGACAAGTCACGGGGTCAAACTCAGCCTTGGTGGCGAGGGCCCCTTTGAACTGGGGTATCCTGCCCCTCCCTGCAGGTCTGTGGTAGAGTTGCTGTCAGAGTAAGCCAGGGACTGAGTTGGCACCCTGGGGTGGCCAAGGCCTTCTGGGGATAGGGCATGGGGACCTGAGGGACTCTGGCCTTCCTGGCTGTCACAGGAGGTGGAGTCTGCTCACTGTCACTAGGACAGTCCCTGGGGATTCTGATAGGGGACACAGAGCTAACTTAGGCATAGCTTCACAGCAGAGTTGGGACATGCTGCATCCTGTCACACGAGGGTGTCCATCTTGGGATGTACCATAGGATGCTAACGTCACAACACAGCTGACAGTAGGTGGCATTCAGGGGTGGAAAGTGTGCTGACTCTTCCCTTTGGCTTAAAGGGTTAACTCCAAACTACAGAGACAGCTCAGTGGTTGAGAGCAGTTTGATTCCCAGTACCCATGTCTAGTGGCTTACAACTGCTAGTTAATTCCAGCTCTTTTGGCCTTGTGGGTACCTGCATGCATGGGGTGCACATATATGCACTCAGGCACATATATGTACATATAAAATAAATACATTTTTTTGGTTTGTTTTCTTGAGACAGGGCCTCAACTGAACAGCTCTATCTGTCCTGGAACTCACTCTATAGACCAGGCTGGCCTTAAGCTCACAGAGATCCACCTGCCCCTGCTTCCCAAGTGCTGGGATTAAAGGCATGTACCACATGCCTGGCTAAATATTTTTTTAAAAAAGAAGGGAAAAAAATAAACAAACAAATAAATAAAATTAAAAAAGGAGGAAAACAAAGTTTTACCTCTAGGGGCTGGGAAGATGGCTTAGGAGTATGAGGACCTGAATTTGGATCCTTGGCACCTATGTAAAAAGTTGGGTATGGCCAGCTGGTGGTGGTGCACGCCTTCAATCCTCGCACAGAGGCAGGCGGATCTCTGAGTTCGAGGTCAGCCTGGTCTACAGAGCGAGTTCTAGGACAGCTGGGACTACACAGAGAAACCCTGTCTTGAAGCCTTCCCTGCCCCAAAGAAGTTGGGTGTGGTGGTGTCCATTATCAACCCTTGTGCTGGGGAGGCAGAGACAGGAGGACCCCGGAAGCTCGCTGCCCAGCCAGCCTAACCATGGCGAGCTCTAGGTTCAGTGAGAGACTCTGTCTCAAAACACAAGGTGCAAAATGAGCATGTGTGGTGTTGACCTCTGACCTCTACATGCATGTGTGTGCCCCCCCCCCCAACTTGCATGCACACGAGGACACACAAAGTTCAGATTAACTATAATCTTCATGTAATTTCTCTCTGAGCAATGGCTGGTTAACATAACTAGCTTGCCGAGTGCCTGTAAAAGGTGCCTTCTGGGAGTTGGGAGGTCCAGCTCGGCTGTGGCCTGGACTCCAGTCCTCAGATAGGCCAGCTCAAGGGCCCTTATGGGCTCCAGCCTCCTGCGGGCCCTGGGGTGGTCTCCAGCAGCTCCCTGACTAAACAGCAACCCCAGTCTATATATGTCTCTTCCCACAGAGACTCCACACTTGGACCCGGGCGACGGTGGAGATGTGGTCTGGCCAAGAGGCCGGGGAACCGTCTGTGTCAGAGGACACCCTGCCCTTCAGTGCTGACTCAGGCATGGGCTGCGAGAGTGACACAGAGCCTGTCACCAGCCCATCAGAGCCAGTAACCCCTGATGCGTGGAGTCATGTCTTCCCTGAAGGGCCTGAACCGGGGTCTGAGGATGGCCTGAGCTCTCTGGTGGCCTCAGAAGTGTTGCTGAAACTCGGGGGCCCCGTGGAGGCCATCGAGGAGTATGGACAGTGGCTGGATGCATGTATCCAGGCCCTGGAGAGGGAAGTGGCGGAAGAGGAGCTGGTCCAGGTTGATGCAGCTGTGGATGCCCTGGGCCGGTGGGAGATGTTCACAGGGCAGCTCCCAGTCACCAAGCCGCACCTGCCCTGTGGCAAGGACAATGTGGGGCTGCGCAGGGTCCTGGAGGACAAGTTATTTTCCCTGAGGCGGCGGCTGAGCTCTCGAAGACTTGCCAAGGCCAGTTCTTCCCACTGCCACCGGGGGACAGAGAATTAATGCAGAGAGATGGACTATCCAATACAGTGAAGTCAGCTCCTGGCATTTTTTTTCTGAAGATACCAACAGACCATGCCTGCCCAGTGACTGAGGGCACTCTGGTATCTTCAGGGTTAAAAGAAATGTCCGCCGGGTGGTGGTGGCGCACACCTTTAATCCCAGCACTCGGGAGGCAGAGCCAGGCGGATCTCTGTGAGTTCGAGGCCAGCCTGGGCTACCAAGTGAGTTCCAGGAAAAGCGCAAAGCTACACAGAGAAACCCTGTCTCGAAAAAAAAAAAAAAAAAAAAAAAAAAATGTCCCCAGAAGCTGAAGAAAAGCTCCTTGGGTGCTTGACTACTGAGTCCCCGTGTTATGTGGTCTGAAGCTATGGCTGAGGCAGGAGTTAGCCAAATGCTTCTTCTTCCCTACAGGAGGGGCTCTGGTCTGTCTAATTACTCACAGCCGGAGCTCTGGACCACCCGATGGCACGGGTTATGTGGCTATGTGTATGTTTCTCTGTGTGTGTCTGTGCACATGAGTGCAGCTGCCTAGAGAGGCCAGAAGAGGGCGTCTGAATCCCTGGATGCCATGACGGGAAGTTGTGAGCCACCCTTTGTGGGAGCTTGCAATTGAACTCAGGTCCTCTGCAAGTGCTGAACACACCTTTGATGTCTGAGCCATGTGTCCAGCACTGTCTCTTTTCAATCTTTTGTCACTCACACGGGGTTCTTTTCTGTGGCTGGAGGGATTTTCTCCTAGAGAAATTTGTGCCCTGTGAGGTTGGCCATTTCTTCAGAAAGAAGTGGGGTGATGGGGTGACTAGTGTGCAGGTTCATGGGGTTGGGCATAGAAGGCAGAGCTGCCCCTTCTCCAGCCCTGAGGCTGCTGCTGCTGCTGTCACTACCAGTTAGGCCAGTGTGGAGGTGGCGGCTCGGCTCTTCTTTGATGGCATTTTTCCTGTCTCAGTCTATACACTCCTGACAGAAGAAGGGTATTAAAATTATTCATCCACAGCTGTGTTTTTCCCCTTTGTTTCTGTGCCGTGTAATGTTGAAGTTCTTTTGCACACACACACACACACACACACACACACACACACACACACACACACTGATTGTTTTCCTAAAGTGACCCTCATTGTTCTCTAATGTCCCAGCTGGCTAGCAATGCCAGTCTCACTATCCCGAGAGCGGAGGAGGGTGGGGGTCTTGGCAAGTAGAGCGGAACGTGTGCATCTGGTGAGTGGCTGTGTTAGTCTCCTTTTCACCGCTGTGACAAAAGGCCCAAGGCAATCGACAATAGAGATTTGTTCGGGCTCAGGCTTCTGAGGACTGCTCTGTGGTGGGCTGGCCCCACGGCTTTTAGTCTGTGGTGAGGGAGAACATCACTGTGGGTGGAGAGCGTGTGGAGAGATGCTCACCTTACCAGGAAGCAAAGCAGAAGGGCCAGAGAACTACCTACCCTTTAAGGGAATATCCCCACTGATTGCTTCCTGCCAGGCTCCTCCTGCAGGTTCCTCCTGGTTCCTATCACTACCCCCTCATGGTTTTGTTTTCTTTTTGTCTTTTCCCTTTTGAGGTAAGGTCTCAGTAGCCCAAGTTCATGTCTAACTCACTGTGTAGCCAAGGACGACCTTGGGGTTCTGGCCCTCCTGCCTCCTTAGCTTCACGCTGCTGGGTCTCGCACACCGTGTGTTGTCAGGGCACCCACTGCATGCTTCCTTATGCTTTCTGGCTTTATTGGGTGAGCAGCAGAGCCTGGACGATGGCTGTGGATACCTCTTCAGCTGCCCTGATGTCCCCTCTTCTGCCTGGAGCCCAGGCTCCCATCAGGGAGGAAGGCAGGCCTGCATTATGTTCCTGTTCATGACAGGAACTGTTGGGGATGGGAGATGGAGTTTCACCTCGTGGCCAGGGCATGAGTAGGGAGGGGCTGCTGTCCTGAGAATACTGCCCCCTAGGACACAGACCTTTGTGGATGAGAAGACCCTCCATCATGCGGTGGGTTAGCTGGAGAGCTGGGTAAAGCTAAAGTCCAAACTTGGATCCCACTGAGGTCTAAGGGGATGCCAGAACATTCCATACAGGAGGTGTCTGAGCAGTGCTAAGGTGAGTCACTCTGTGAATCCAGCCAGCAGATAGCCAGGCTTTGGAGGGACAGGAAAGGTCTTGAAAAGGAACGTGTGTGTGTGTGTGTGTGTGTGTGTGTGTGTGTGTGTGTACATGCGTGCACATGTGCAGGCCTGAAGTCAACATTGTTTTGAGACTGGGTCCCTCTACATAGTCCTGACTCTCCCAGAACTCACTTTGTAGACAGTTTGGTTTTTCTCCTCCCTCTTTTATTATGAACCAGATCTCATTATAGAAGGTTGTGAGCCACCATGTGGTTGCTGGGAATTGAACTCAGGTCCTCTGGAAGAGCAGTCAGTGCTCTTAAGTGCTGAGTCTTCTCTTTAGTCCCCCAGTCTGGTTTCTAACTCACAGAAATCCACCTGCCTCTGCCTCCCCAGTGCTGAAATTAAAGGTGTGCACCACAGGCCTGGTCCATCTTGCTATTAAAAAAAATAGTACTTTCATTCTTTGAGAATGTCTATCTTGCTTTTTGAGACAGTCTCTCACTAGCCTGGAACTTGCCACGTTAAACTAGACTGGCTGGCCCGTGAGCCCTTAGAGAGCTGCCTGTCTCCACCTCTCCAGAGCTGGGATTATGTGCCAGCATGCCCAGCTTTTTTACTTGGTTTCTGGGGATCAAACTTGGGTCCTGAGTACCTTTACCAGCTGAGATGATATTGCTCTATCCCCTCGGGCTGGAGCTCACTGTCTTGCTGGGCCTCCCACATGTAGAGACTTCAGGTGTCCATCACCAGGCCTTGCCATGCCTCTTAGCCTCTAAGTGCAGGGAATGTATTGTGTCCACTCACTCACTTCTCTTACTAAAACCTTAGTGTGTGTGAATGGGCAGAGGAAGGTACACTTGTGTGGCATGCATGTAGAGGTCAGAAGAAAACTTTTGGAAGTCAGTTCACCCCATGGGTTCTGGGGATTGAACTCAGGGCATCAGGCTTGTGTGGCAAGCACTTTTCAGTTCAGCCATCTTGCCACCCAGCCTCAAATCTGAGAGTGAGTGTGCACAGCACGCCACTCTGTTCTATGGCTACGGAAGCTGAGGTGGTAACCTCGTGAGGCTCAGCAACATGGAGCTGAGTGAAATGAGGCCGTTTGCCTGCCCGAGCCCTCTGCTTTCACTAACCATGTTCTTTGAACTCTGTGGGGAAAATAGGCAGAATGAGGAGATGCACAGATGGCTGGACACCTGTACCTGGTCTCCCGGGCAGCCCCCACCCAGCTGTTACAGCTTCTGGAATCTTCTACACACTTGCCTCTCTACAGGGTGGGAAGCTGGAGGTTACACTACCTAGAACAAAAATCAGGCCAATGAGATGGCTCAGTGGGTAAAGGTGCTTCCCATGTGAGCCCGTCAACCAGCCCTGGATCCTCCATGTAAATGTGGAAGGAAAGAACTGATTCCATAAAGTTGCCCTCTGACACCCACACCCATGCCGTGGCATACTTGCACACACATGCAGTAATAAAATAATAAAATAATACTAATAAAACAAAGACCCCTGGGGACTCAATCCCTCTGCAGCCTGAAGCAGGGGGCCCGTAACCTGGCAGCTATCACAAGGAACACGGCATGCTGGGTGGGGCTGAACCCACAGTGACCCCAGATGTTTCTTGGAAATTGCCTTTTAAAACAAGCCTCTTGACTTAAAGCTTGTTTTCATTTGCCTCGTACCCAAGAAGCCGAGCTCAAAAATAAACCTGAGTTATTTTGGGCTCCAGCCGGCAATGCGAGGTGATGCTGGGGGACGCTGAGCCAGGGCAGGAAGAGCTGCCAGCTGTTGTCCACTGGTCTTTTGCATTTCTCGCAAGCAGATTTCAAAAGCTGGGTTCTTGGGCTGGGGATGTAGCTCAGTTTGCAGAGTGCGTGCCCAGCATTCAGGAGGCCCTGGGTTCCATTTGCAGTGCTGGGTTATATAAACCAGGCCTGGTGGTACCCAGTTATAATCCCAGCGCTCAGGAGATGGAGACAAAGGGACTAACGGAAGTTCAAGACCAAAAAAAAAAAAAAAAAAAAAAAAAAAAAAAAAAAAAAGAGAGAGAGAGAGAGAGAAAGCCAGTTACTGAGACCCTCAGTCCCAGGGAACAGCTCTGCCAAGATCTGGAAGGGCTGGGATCACGTTCATCTGGGTAGGTCACACCATAATGGTGCCAAGGTGACAGCTAGAACAACCTCCTTTATTCTGCCCACCAGTGCCAGGGCTGGAAAAGGAAGCCCCTAACTCCCATGCTTCCAGGCATTGCTCAAGGTGCTGCCCGGCAGAGGCTGAAGCCAGTGGTTTTTTTTCCCAACAAACCACCTGGTGTGGAAAATGTCTCCATTACCAGTAGCTCACACAGTGCTTTGGCTGGTTCTTGGTGTTTCTGTGAAGTGAGCAGCAGCTCCTTTGTTGTTTAGTGTGTGGGGTGCGTATGTCGATATGCACGAGCAGAGGATGTCCAGGGCCCTGCTTTACCACTCTCCCCCGAGGCTGGGTCTCTCACTAGGAGCTGCACTGATGGCCAGCAAGCACTTGTCCCTGTCCTCCACAGTGCTGGGGTGAAGAAGCATACAGCTACAACTGACATTTAATGTGGGGCTCTGGATTTGAACTCCGGTCCTCAGGCGTGTGCAGTAAGTGCTCTTATCTGTTGAGCCCTCTCCCTGGCCCCTTTGGAGTGGGTCTCCTGCATCCTAGGCTTTGAATGTGTAAGCAGTAGTAGAGGCTCCTGCCTCTGCCTCCCAAGGTGTATGACTGCGTACCTGGATAAGGTGCATTTTAATGTATATACCACATCAAATCACGTGTTTGGGGGACTTTCATTTAAAAAGGGCATTTATGATAGCTCTCTCACCTGCCAGGCTCAGGTACATGAAATTAAAATTTGCAATAGTGAATCTTCAAGTGAAGAAGATTTGGGGATGGGAAAATGAGAAAGTGAGTGTTGGCTTTGAGCGGTAACCAGTGTTTTTTACTAAGCAAAGTAAAACCAAGGACTCATTTTAACCAACATCTAGAGGTGTGATGCTCAAATCTTCAAGCGAGATCCACCCAATCAATGCCAACACCAGTGTGAAGTAGAGGGCAGCTGGCCCCAGCGAAACCCTAACAAACCAAACTACTTCAGACCCAAGCTGGCCAGTCCGACCCATCAGCTTGGCTCACTGGTATTGTTTTTGTGTGTGTATGTGCACGTGGAGGTCATCCTTGGGCTGTTCCCCAGGAGCTGTCCACCATGTTCACTGAGACAAGGTGTCTTACTGGGGCCTGAGGCTCTCTGGGTCCCTGGCCCTGCTTCCCCAGGGCCTCACACTTGTATGGAAAGCAGTTGTCTCCCTGGGCCACTCCCCAGGCCTCTTTTTGCTATTATTTTTATCTTATCAAAAAAGTAGGGAAATCACAAGACTAGAAATCCTAGTGATCTCTAAATTATAGAGAGAGTCAAGAACACTTCTCAGAATACCCCCACCTCCACCCCATCCATTCTTTAACATCTACAGTCTACTAGGCAGGAAGCAGGCTGATTTTTAGCAAGTTTATTGTTACATTTGTTTTTTTGCAGTAATAGAGGAGGCACAAATACCTTCTGCTTCTCCAACACTGCAATAAAAAGGACAATAGTCAAGGTAACAGTGAAATTAAAATAAAAAAAAAAAAATAGAAAAGCCTAGGGTCTGGGAGACAAACCTGACTATAGTCTATGTGTAGAGACTTGTAAATGACTTCAACCTCGCCCTGCAAACACCATCTCCTTTTCCGATTGCATCACGGATCACAGAGTGGGGCATCCTAACAGAGGATATGGCCAGGCTTGGCTCACCAGGGAGGTGGGCCAGAGGCTGAGCTGGTCCAAGCCGCTGGGCCTCTGGCCATCCACCTGCTCAGCTAGTTGCAAGTTCACATCTTGCT